ACAAATCTCTCCCTCCTGCATTACTTTCTATTCATGCCCAACTTTCCACCATCTTGTCTATATTGCTGCCCACAGTATCTTGTTCTCTATCTGAATACATCTGGGAGTTTTAGAATGCTACACAAAAGGCACCTCAGTGTAAAACCTATCCAGACTGTCTTCAGCCTGGCATAATGGTCCTGAGGTGCAGCCCAGATGCTGCATGCATCAAGAGTGCTTCTTTTTAATCCTGAAAGTAGCACTCTATGGCATGAAGCACTACAGACTGTTTAACCATGTATGCACAGAATGTATGGCACACTGGCTGTCTCCAAATTTTGATTGAAATCAATAAAATAGCTATGAATATTTGTATATATACTTTTGTGGGAACATACATTTTTAAATCTATGGCATACATACCTATAACTGTTGGGTCATATGAATTATGTATTCAGCTTGTTTGTTTTCTTGAAACAGGGTCTTAGTATATAGCCCTGGCTGGCCTGGAACTCACTGTGTAGACTAGGGCGGCCTTGAACTCAAAGAAATCCACCTGGTTCTGCCTCTGGAGTGCCAGGATTAAAGGTATCCTGGTGTATATTCTTAAAGTCGCTATTCCCAGTTAAAATGCAACAGAAAGAGCTCACCCTCAAAAGGAGGGAAGTGCATTTAATATCATCCACTCTTCCCGTCCTTGCCTCAACATCATCATTTCTTTTCTGTTTTGAGAACTTTCTTTAGTTTAATTGAAAATAGATTCTTTTGTATACAATATAGTCTGTGGTTTCTCCTCCCTTACCTCCTCAGAGATCCTCCCCACCTTCCCATCCACCCAACTTCATGCCTTCTCTCTCTCTCTCAAGAAAAGAAACAGGAAAATTTAAAAAACAAAACAAGAACATAGTTGAACAAATGCTTTTGTAGTATGATTGGGCATCTCTTGGGTATATTCCCAACAGTGGAATTGCTGGATCCTGAGGTACATTGACTCCCAGTTTCCTGAGAAACCGCCACACTGATTTTGAAAGTGGTTGCACAAGTTTGCATTTCCACCAGCAATGGATGAGTGTTCCCCTTACTCCACAACCTCTCCAGCACCGGCTATCATTGGTGTTTTTGATTTTAGCCATTCTAACAGGTGTAGGATGATATCGCAAAGTTGTTTTGATTTGCATTTCCCTGATGGCTAAGGAGGTTGAGCATGACCTTAAGTGCCTTCTGGCCATTTGAACATCTTCTGTTGAGAATTCTCTGTTCAGTTCAGTACCCCATTTTTTAATTGGGTTAATTAGAGTTTTAATGTCTAGTTTCTTGAGTTCTTTATATATTTTGGAGATCAGACCTTTGTCTGATGCAGAGTTGGTGAAGATCTTCTCCCATTCAGTAGGTTGCCTTTTTGTCTTAATGACAGTGTCCTTTGCATTACTTCTCAGTTTCAGGAGGTCCCATTTATTCATTGTTGCTCTCAATAGAAGAATGGATAAAGAAGGTGTGGCACATATACACTTCAGAGTTCTACTCAGCGGTAAAAAACAATGACATCTTGAATTTTGCATGCAAATGGATGGAAATAAAAAACACTTTACTGAGTGAGATAGCCCAGACCCAAAAAGAGGAATATGATATGTACTCAATCATAAGTGGATTCTAGCCATAAACAAAGGCTATTGAGCCTATAGTTCGTGATCCTAGAGAAGCTAAATAAGAAGGTGAACTCAAAGAAATACATATAGTTAATACTCCCAGATACTGGAAGTAGACAAGATCACCGGGCAAAAGTTGGGAGCAGGGGGATGGGACTAGGTTGGGAGAAGGGGAGATGGGGAGAAAAAAGGGAGAAGGGGAGGATTGGGGAGAGATTGAGGGAATGGGATAATTGAGATGGAGGAAGGGTGGATATGGGAGCAGGGAAGAAGATATCTTAACTAAGGGAGCCATTTTAGGGTTGGCTAGAGTCTTGGCTCTAGAGGGGTTCCCAGGTGTCCAAGGGGATTTCCCCAACCAGGTCTGTGGGCAGCAGAGAGGGTGCTTGACTGGCCTTCTCCATAGACACACTGATGAATATCTTGCATATCACCATAGAACCTTCATCTGGTGAGGGATGGAGATAGAGAGAGAGAGACCCACACTGGAGCACTGGACTGAGCTCCTAAAGCCCAGATGAAGAGCAGAAGGAGGGAGAACATGAGCAAGGAAGTCAGGTCCGCGAGGGGTGTGTCCACCTACAGAGATGATGGGACTAATCTAACAGGAGCTCACCAAGGCCAGCTGGACTGGGTCTGAACGAGCATGTGATCAAACCGGACTCTCTGAATGTGGCTGACAATGAGGGCGGACTGAGAAGCCAATGATAATGACACTGGATTTTGATTCTACTACATGTACTGGCTTTTTGGAGCCTAGTCTGTTTGGATGCACACCTTCCTAGGATGGATGGGGGGGGGGCCTTGGACTTCCCGCAAGGCAGGACACCCTGACTTCTCTTAGGACTGGAGAGCGAGGGGGAAGGGGATGGGGGAAGAGGGATGGGAGGAGGTGGAAATTTTAAATAAATAAATACAAGAACAAAGCTAGGCAGTGGTGGTGCTTGCCTTTAATCCCAGCACTCAGGAGGCAGGCAGATCTGTGAGTTCAAGGCCAGTCTGGTCTACAAGAGCAAGTTCCAGGATAGGCTCCAAAGCTACAGAGAAACCGGTCTCAAAAAAACAAAAGAAAAAGAAAAGAAAAACAAGCAAACAAACAAAAAACTTCACAGAACAAAGGAAACACACACATAAAAGCACACTAGACATACATACACATGCAGAGACAAACATGCACACATAAAACCCATAAAAACACAAAATCAGGGGGCTGGAGGGATGGCTCAGTGGTTAAGAGCATTGCCTGCTCTTCCAAGGGTCCTGAGTTCAGTTCCCGGCGACCACATGGTGGCTCACAACCATCTGTAAGGAGGTCTGGCGCCCTCTTCTGGCCTTCAGGCATACAGACAGAATATTGTATACATAATCAATCAATCAATCAATCAATATTTTAAAAAAAACACACAAAATCAGAAACCGTAATACAGAAGCAAAAGACTAGTAAAGTTTAGCTTGTTTTGAATGGCCTGCTCTTGAATGTGATTGGTGTTCCCAATGAGACTCTAATGGAGAAAACTAGCCTTTCTTCTGTGAGTGGTGTCCATTGGAGACAGTTTCTGAGTTAGGGATGGGAGATCACATTCACTTCCCCATCTCAGTGCTGAGACCCCACAAAGCTTGTACTTGTGGAGACCCTTGCATGCTGCCACCATCTCTCTGAGTTTGTTTGCGTGTCAGTTCTGTTGTATCTGGAAGGCAGTGTTTTCCTGGTATCTTCCATCCCCACTGGTTCTTACCATCTTTCTGCCACCCCTCCTCAAAGTTCTCTGGGCCCTAAGGGGCGGAATTTGATGGAGACATCCCATTTAGCGCTGGTACTCCAAGGTCTCTCATTCTCTGCACATTGTGCAGTTGTGGGTCTCTGTAACTGATGGCTAGTCCTGGCTCTGATGATAGCTCATCTTCCTAGGCCACTCTATTCTTTAGCTTTTTGTTTTGTTTTTTGAGACAGGGTTTCTCTGTGTAGTGCCGGCTGTCCTGGAACTCACCTCCCAGGTGCTGGAACTAAAGGCGTGTGCCATCACGTTAGTCTCCCTTTCTTTAGTCTTTAAGAACTGTTGGACACTTTTCCCAATTCTAAAGAGTATAAGTACTGCATATGTAACCCTGGGTTAAAATTTTCTTTCAGCATTTTAAAACACACGATCTGCTCCTTCATTCATAAGGAAGCCTTTGTCTCAAACTGCTGTGGGAAGGTTATTTCTCACTAATCTGGGACAGCGTCTTCAGTTTTCAGAAGTCCTGAGTCTTGGTATGTATTTCTTTGGGTTTATACTAATTTGAAGTTCATTAAGCTTCTTCAGTTCGTAGCTTTCTGGTTTTCAGTATTTTTCTGCTCTCAAATGTGTATGTGGAATCAAGGTGTGGCAGAGTATGACTATAATCTCAGCACTCAGAAGTAGGACAATGGTGAATTTGAGGCTAGTCTGAGCTAGCTAGTGAGACTCCACCTCAAAAAAAAAAAAAAGGATTAAAATTGTCTATGTAGCTCCTCCTTTTATGGTTCTGGTATGACAGTGGTTTTCAGCTGAACCCTGAATACTTGGGCATTGTCAAACTGCAAATCTTACTCAAGTCTGTATTTTGTGAGCCTTGAAAGGTGTCTGTGTGGGGGTATATATACATCAACTGCAGCTGGAGACAGGAGTCTTTATAGGGGAAGACATATCAACAATCCTTTAACAATCTATTAACAGTACAATTCTGAGAGTTCTGCATAGATTCTCCGTGAAGCCCTCTCACAGAGTTTCTTTTCCATTCAACTTCTACCAAGACTTGGCTCAAGTTAAGACCTATTAAATCAAGGCCTCGTAAGTAACCCCAAATTCCAGTTACTATCTAGATTACACTAAAGCATGTTTTCCATTATTAGGTGGGGAAAGGTATTTACTTTCCGCTTACTAATATTTATCATCTCTGGAGGATTTTTAAAGAATGTGCTGTGAACTTCAAGTAATATGTGTGTGATTCAAAAACTAACCAGGGCATGGCTGCTGCCAGAGTAGACAACACATAATGTTCCACACTAGCCTTAGCCACATAGTGAAATTTTTAGACAGACACACAGACAGACAGATAGATATTTACCAAGTGTTTTAGTCTATCTACCTCTTCCTTCAGAGGAACTCAGTAGATTACAAATCCACTTAAGAGTTTCAATACAATTAAAGAAGGAAGAAAATATAAAGTAAAAATGACATGAACCTTGGATGTCAAGTAAAGCATTTGAGTAACAATCATGGTGGATACTCAGAGTAATTCATACCTTGGTTGTTCCCAAGTCCTCCTGAACTTGTGGTCGGTTTTTCACAAGGGTAAGAAAGCTGCCTAGGTTGGTCTATCTCCTGCTGATGTTGATGCTGTTGTTGCCTGAAATATTCAAAAGTGATTATCTGTTAAAACAATACCCAAGAAATAAATATTCCATGAGAATACGTATTCATGTAGGCTGTTCCATAAATCAAAATGGCACTGGCCTGAACACTCAGAACATGAGAATTAGTTTGACAATTACAAGTATAAAAGTTTCAAAATTTTTATTCTAAAAACCCTACATATTTGAGTTATCAGACACATAGGTATTTTCATTTTCTGTATAAGGCTCACTAGTATTTATTCGTATGCAAATGAATAAGGTTTATGCATCTTTAATATTTTTAGGAGTCACTGAAGACAAACTATCTCAATTTAATGTGCTCTTTCCTGCCTGGCTCCCTCTAGTCTTTCAAGTCTGAATTTAGCACGCGTCTCCTTGAAGGCTGTCTTGGCCATCCCACTTTAAGCCTTCTCCTGGCCTTCTCACTATTTCACTTGCATTCTCAGTATAAACATACTGCCACCTCGATGCTTGTGTTTGGGCTGCAAGCTAACCAGAGCACAACCTTATGATGCTTAGCTGTGTCCCCAGTACCTGAGACTGTGTTCCTCACATAGCAGCTACATCACATACTTGATGAATTAAAGAAATAGAAGCAGTTGTATGATGACAGCAATGCTGCTGTATATTGGAAGTATGTGATCTGCGACTTGATTTTGATTTTACAAATCTTACAGTTAAGAGATTGCATGAATCTCAGAAGATACTTTTTGAAGCAGTCATAAGACTGAAAGACTTATTATTATGACATAGCTACTAGCTTATGGGGGCCAGGGAGTAAAATGTGGTAGTTTGAATATGAATGGCCCCCATAGGCTCATATAGATATGGCCTTACTGGATAAAGTATACCACTGGGCAGTGGGCTCTGAGGTTTCAAATGCCCATGCCAGACCAACCTCTCACTTTCTGCCTGTGGATTCAGATGTAGAACTGTCAGCTACTTCTCCAGTACCATGACTGCTTACATGCTACCATGCTCCCCTCCCCATCATGATGGTAATAGACGAACCTCTGAAAGTAAGCCAGCACCAATTAAATGCCTTCTTTTTAAGAACTGTCATGATCATGTTGTCTCTTCACCGCAAAGGAATACTGACTAATACAATCTCTTAAAAAAGACTGTGGTGACTTGTGCCTGTAGTATAAGTTGCTCAGGAGGCCAAGGGAAAAGGTCACCCAAGCCCAGGATTTCAATACCAGGCTGGGTGTTATATATCCCTATCTCAAAAACAAAACAAACATGCAGGAGTATATCCTTGTATTTAGAATATGTACGCTGAAATACTAAGCTGCAACAAGAAAGAATCTGTTACTCCCAGACACTTCTGATCTGTCAACAATCTGGGGAAAGGACATGGGAGTTCCAAGGAGCTCTGCACACTAGTTCTACTGTTTGATAAGTAAGAAACATACACGAAAAACTACAAAGAAAAAAAAACAAAAACAAGGAAAATCTAAAAATGATTGAGATTAAGAAGTCAGATTACAAAGCTGTGTCTGATTTTAAAAGGGCCAAAATTCAATTATACACTGCATGATTTTTTCTAGTGTTCCTCTCAATTTTGAAAAAGGCTTCTGGTCAGGTTGCTAGCTTAGGATGACCTGAACTCTAGATCTGCTGGCCTAAGTACACCAGGCAACACCACACCCAGCTTGTCCTTCTCAGTTCTGAGCTTTATAAGTGAACAACAAGACAACTCGGAGAGTAGAACTCCATCTTCTCTCTGCTGGCCTTCTGCTGTTGTGTGCCTTCCTTCACGCATGGCCTGAGCTCTGGGGATCCTGGAACATCATGCCCTCTTCTTTCTCTACTTAAGAATCTAAGTCTGATAGAGGGAAAACTTTTAATCTACTTTAATTTTTCATTTAACTGACATATTTATTATAATTTTAAATTATGTAAAACGGGAAGAAAATCAGCTGCCACCCTTGAAAGGACCACTCTGAAGCACTGAGGACGCTGCTATGGAACAAGGTCCTCAGGGCCCTACCCACCATGCATCAGTCTACAGAGGCTGCAGAAAAAGCCTGGTTTCTGGTCACAGAGTTAGTCACATGAGCTACAAAGGGCAGAAATGTGTCAATGAGGCACAGCTATTTTCCTGATAAGCAAAGGCAAGGAGATTTCAGCCCTAACTCCTATATCTCATGGCTGTTTCAGTGAGACCAGAAAGTCTTGACAACTACAATATGGCTTCCTGATTCCAGGATCACAGTTATATCTGTTTATTTTTATTTTTTGTTTGTTTGTTTTAAGATGTGGTTAGGGAGTTACATGTGATGGTGCACACCTTTAAACCCAGCACTCCAAAAGGCAAAGGCAAGCCTCTGTGAGTTTGGGGTCAGCCTGGTCTACATAGTGAGTTCTAAGACAGCCAGGGCTACAAAAAGAAACCATTCCTCAAACAAACAAACAAAAAAAAAAATTCAAAACCCAAAAAGAAAAAGATTTAGTTAGGGGCTAGAGAGATGATTCAGCAGTTGAGGGCACTGGCTGCTCTTCAGACGACTTGGGTTCAATTCTCAGCATCTACAAGGCAGTTCACAACTGTCTGTAACCCCAGCCCCAGGTTCAGGGGTTCTAATACTCTCTTCTGCCCTCCGAAGGCACTGCATGCACATGGTACACATATATATATGCAGGTAAAATACCCACACATATAAAATAAAATATTTATATCTAAAACATAGAAATGTTTTAGATTATGTATGAGTAGGTGCCCTCAGAGTGAGAACAGAGTATATAGTCCTCTGAATCTTGATGTCAGTCATGTGTCGTGGGGTTATCTGATCCCTGTCATTCTAGTCAGGAGCGGTCAGAGCCCTTCTCACAAACTACTCTACACTTCAGAAGCCTGGCTCAGAACTCCCTAACACTATAAGCCTCTAATTTCACTATTAGTGTTTTGTTTAAGTACTCTTACCTGTTTCTCTTTCTTTTTTCGCTTTTAGAGAAAAAAAAATCTCACTGTGTAACAGTTCTATCCTAGAACCTGCTTTATAGACCAGGGGGGGCTTGAACTCAGAGATCCGACTCCCTCTGCCTACCGAGGGCAGGGATTAAAGCCACTTCTAGTTTTATTTTGTTTTGTTGTTGTTGTTTTAATCAAGACAGAGTTTCTCTGTAGCTTTGGAGCCTGTCCTGGAACTAACTCTTGTAAATCAGGCTGGCCTCGAACTCACAAATCCACTTGCCTCTGCCTCCTGAGTGTGCCACCCCCTTCCAGCTCCATTTTTGTTTCTTAAACTGAACTGTCTGATAAACTAAGTCAAGCCATTAAAGTGACTGCATAAGTATTAAGCAATCAAAACATCATGACACTCCTTGGCTATGAATGTTTGTATCCGTCCTACTGGGAAACACTATTTCTTGTAACAGGCAGACTATAGCATTCAAAGCTATACATAAAGACACTAATGATGTTAACAAATATCTGTAGAACACATAACAGCTGATAGCCTTCAGACCCACCACTTAATTCTGTGCTCCCAACAGCAGGCATTAATGGTGCTGGTATGGACTCTGGCTTGGGGCTTTATGACTGATAAACATGCAGATCATTGCTAGAAAAAATGTCATGCCAATGAGATATTACTTACTGACCCTTACTCATAAACTATGAATTCATAATAGGCTATTTTTAGTAGTATTTTTTTACACAAAAACAGAAATCCTATAATGTGTTTTATCTGATATCTACCTTAAGTATGAGGCTTTTAACACTCAATAGTGACAGACAGGGATGAACTGTGAGTAACTGGAGAATGAAAGAAGGCCAAGAACAGAATAATCTAGAGAGACAGACAGAGAACTATTCCAGCTAAGCAACCAAGGGTATGTAATGGCAAGTGCAGCATGCACGTTTAAGCAATGAGCCATCCTCAGGCCCTTGGCACCGTTCTTAAACTTTAGTAAACTAGCACTTTTAAACGCCAGTCGATGTTAAAAATAAACATCACAAAGTTGACCCTTAATTCATCTCAGTGCTACGTGACTAACTAGAACAGTGCCTGGGCTGTCTTTAAGTTCTCAACAGAGGATAAAAGACTAAAGCTAGAAACAACTTCAACACACAACCAACCACTAGAAAGAGGCATGCTCATACCCAAAATGCTTTTTAAAAAGGTGCAAGGTTGACCAAAATCTTTATCATCTCAAAAGCAATAGTTATGGTGTTTAAGTTGTGATTGCTATGGCTTAATATTCGTCACGGAATGTTACTGAATTACCTTTACTGCTACTCAAAGTTCAAACCTACTGGAAGTTTCAAAGTTTTATTTCAAGGAAGTTAACAAAATGTCTAAATAATTTAAAGAAAAGGGTTGGTAACAAGGCTTAGCAAGTAAAGACTCTTACTGCTAAGCCTGACAACCTGAGTTTAAGTCATAGGACCCACACAGTGGAGGAAGAGGTACCAACTCCTGCCAAATGACCTGTATGCCATGCATAGTGTACACACACACACACACACACACACACACACACACACACACACATACACACTCTCTCCTCTCTCTCTCTCTCTCTCTCTCTCTCTCTGTCACACACACACACATAAAGAGAATATACATATGACGAGAGGGGAATATATGCAGTCACTAACATCATGTATTGAAGAAGGGTATAGTGGGAACATTTTTAAAAAATAAATTTCTAGAATACTAATTTTGCCTACTTAAGTAGCTTTAAATAATTTTTAAAACTAAATATTTATATAAAATTGTTGACTACCAATATTACTTTGTGAAAACAGCATTTATTAGGGGAAAACAAACAATCCAGGTGTGGTATGCGGACTGGCAATCCACCACTGGGCAATGAGAGTCAGGATGAGTGGGAGCTTAGGACTAACCCAGGCAGTGAGAGAGAACAATCAAAAACTAACACAAAAACAAAAACAAAGCAACCTTACAGAAACAAACAACTCCAAATATTTTGGAGGCACATACTAAAACAGCAACAACATGATGATTATGACTTGTTATAAGTCCAAGCCTGTGGGAGAAGGAAAAATGGGAGTCAGAGGCATAATACCTGGGTCATGTGTTGGTACTTTCCAACTGAGTAATTGATTATATTTATATTTAGATGGGTGTCTAAGGCTTACCATAATTTAAAAAGTAATAGTTAATGCTAAAATTCAAAAGGACATGAAAAGCACTAATAAGTACTATTTTAAAATGTAAATATAATTAAATCTATGAATCAGTCACTGAATAAAGACTAGAAATATCTCACATTAAGAGGATGTCAGCTGTTCAGAACTTTCCTTCATATACTTCTGAGTTGTGACTTAAAAAAACAGAAAACAGAAAAGCGTAAACATTATCTTCACAATACCAGTAGAGGCAAAATGGTCCAAACTTTATACCACTAATTGGCTAACTATGAGTCTAAGATGTGGCTGCTCAAGTTCAGAGGCGCTGATTGATGTGTGGCCGCTGCTGTTGTGCTGGGGTGAATGAAGCCCATGCCTTACACAGGCTGGGTGAGCACTCTCCATCAAGTTGTGTCCCAGACATTCAAAGAACTTAAAATGTGAAAACAAACGCTTCACAGATTGATGAGACGAGATATATAACTGTAGAGTCCATCTCTGGCCTTATCTTTCTGACCTGAGATCAGAGGGTTCAATTATCTATTATTGATCATAATTATTGATCATATTATCTATCACTTTTAAGGTCGAGTTCAGTTTAAAAATAATAAAAAAGCTAAAAATGATGACATATATCTGTAATCCTAGCACAAGGGAAGCTGAAGTAGAAAGACAGCCAGGAGTTTAAGGCCAGCCAGACCACATAAGAAAACTCTATCCAAAAAATAAAAGTTTTGTGAACAGCAATTACTAGAAAGAAAGACACTATAAAAGTAAATAGCCAAGCAGTGGTGGCCCATGCCTTTAATCCCAGCACTCACGAGGCAGAGGCAGGAGGATCTCTGTGACTTCGAGGCCAGCTTGGTCTACAAAAGTTAGTTCCAGGACAAACTCCAAAGTTACAGTGAAATCCTGTCTCAAAAAACAAAACAACAACAACAACAACAAAAAAAAAAAACAAAGAAGTATAAACATTTATTTTTAGTACTTACAAACTGAGTATACCATGTAGCTTGGGGAGTTGATGGTTCAGATTGATGGTTTCTATGCTCCTGGTGCTAATAGGTCTTGGGCCTCCTAAAGTGACAACCAGCAGGACTACAAAGCACCTACTGCCTGTACTTGGGAAGATACCCCCCTCCCTCAAATGCTGTTTCCCTGTTAACTGATGGGAGGATTAGCAGGGCCAACAGATCAATATGCAGTAACTCTTTCCCGTCCTAAGTCCATTTTCCTTCTGATAAGCAAAATCCCACAAGGTTCCCTTTATCCAAGGCCATGTAAATTTATCCAAGATTGGGCAAAGGTTTTTCTCTAAAACTGTTAAATACTTCACACTTGATTTGCTGCAAAACTTTATACACACACACACACACACACACACACACTCGTAGGTTCAGGCAGTAAACAGTAACTTAGAAACAGACAAAACAAGCAAGTATTAAATATGAAGCTTTAATCTGTACTAACTACTTTACTTTTCAAAGTAGGCTTCTCTCCTCTTCCGCAGCTCTTCTGAAGTAAGATTGGTACTTGACGTCTGTGGACTATCTTGAGACATATTTCTGGAACTACCTAAAAAAAAGCCAATCATTTTATATACCTGTTCAAGCAGCAGTATATTTGTTCTTCCTGAGGAAGACAGAAAAAGGCACCAGATTTCATTATAGATGATTATGAGCTACTATGTGGCTGCTGGGAATTGAACTCAGGACCTCTGGAAGAGCAATTAATACTCTTAACCTCTGAGCCATCTCTCCAGCCCAAAAGTTTTCTTCTTAAGAACATCCCACTAAACCGGGCGATGGTGGCGCACGCCTTTAATCCCAGCACTCGGGAGGCAGAGGCAGGCGGATCTCTGTGAGTTCGAGACCAGCCTGGTCTACAGAGCTAGTCCCAGGACAGGCTCCAAAGCCACAGAGAAACCCTGTCTCGAAAAACAACAACAAAAAAAAAAGAACATCCCACTACTGTTCTGAAAATGTAAGAAGGCTATGAAAGTCATGTGTTACTGCAACCGTGGATGACGCCATCTGCAATGCAGATGTGAGAGTACAAGTCCACAGTCCACCCGGTATGAGAGGCCTTGAAGACCACATTTGTGTGCCCTTTAACTTTCCCAACTGCATCTCCACCTTCAACGGCGGCGGCATGGTATTCCTCAAAGCAGCCCTTGAGGACGACCATGACACACCCTTACTCTGTTCTCAACAACTTGTTTCTAAGTTCTCACTAGTAACTGTACCAAACACAGATTGCATATAAATTGTGACAATGGCAAGATGGTTTTCTGTGCATTACTGCAATAACCCAGCAGGCCCATGCTAATAAAACATGGAACTCCACGCTCCATGAAATATGCAGAGGTAGGCCTGGAGGTGAGGAGTCTAGAGTAACAGTAATAACTTTATTAACGGATCCTCAATGCACTAAGATGTTTAAGGAATTCAGATGATGAACAATCTCATTAAAAATAGAAGTAGCTTCATATAAATTAAATTAAAAGAAAATGCTTTCAGTAAACTGCTTTGTGTGTCAACACTTTGCTCTGCCAACATTCCTAAGGGGTTTATCATCTCTCCTCCACTGACAGACTTACATCAGTGAAAAAGGGATATCCCTCAAAAGAGGGCTTAAGTATTAAGTTGTCCAGCTAAGTACAGGTTGTCCACTGGCATGCATTTGTTAAGACAGCTGGCTTAGCTAAGGAAGATTAATTCATTTAGTTGTTATGTTATTGTAATCAAATAACATAACCAGAAGTAAAATTACAGCTGTATTAAACACAACAAATAACAGTCCTAATATAAGTTATAAAAGTGATTCAAGATCAGGGAAATCTAAAAGAAATACTGAAATTCTAGAACTATTGCTTTTGCAGGAACTCTTAAAGAACTTCCAAAAGCACAATAATTTTCTGAAAAGCTAAGAACAACTTGAACCAGTTCTCCAAAGATGACTGAAGTACACCCCAAATGCTCATACCTTGCATACTGAGCTGAATGGCCCTGCGGAGATCAGCTTCTTCATCCTCCATGTCGATTTCCTGGCGACTTATCGCGAGAGCCCTCTGCAAATCATCCTCATCTTCATCCAACACCCCAGCCCCGTCAGCCGCCTCTAGGACTCGTTCCAGATCTGCTTTAAGAACACTAAGCAACAAATGCATTCATAGAACTTATAGCCTGCTTCTCGATTTTATTTTTCATTAAAAAATTTTATGTGTATATTTTGTTTGCATGTTTATCTTGCACATTGTGTGCAGTGCCTGAGGAGGCCAGAGGAGGGTGTTGGATACCCTGAGACTAGAGTTATAGAAAGTTGTGAGCTACCAGGTGAGACTTGAGGATCAAACCTAAGACAACTGGAAAAGCAGCCAGTGCTCTTAGCCACTGAGCCATCTCTCCAGTCCATAGTCTTCAATTTTATATAAAATTAAAGGCACTTAAAAACTAAAGATTTTAGACAAAAAAAAAAAAAAAAACAAACAAAAAAACACACACTCTAGAAAATAAAGTTCACTAACAGAACAACTGAGTTGTAATATGAATCTAAGCCAAGATATTTAAGTAATTCGTTTATGCTCATTCCATAAACTTCACTAAACACAGCCTTGCTTATGCCCTCATGCTTGTTTATCAGCTACCTGTGAGGTGAAGACAAAAGGATGTCAAAGTTGACAACTGGGCAACTTAATGACACCTGCCATTAGAAATAGTGGGGGGAATGGGATGGCCATGACCCGGATGATGTTCAATGGTAGAGTGTATGCATGAAACTTAGGATTTGAGCACAAACACTACAAATAATAATAGTAATAATAATTAATAATTGTAACAACTCATTTTCGGATGAGGGAGGTATATTCAAGAGATGTAGCACAGGCCGCACGGTAGTGGCACACGCCTTTAATCCCAGCACTCAGGAGGCAGAGGCAGGCGGATCTCTGTGAGTTCGAGACCAGCCTGGTCTACAGAGCTAGTTCCAGGACAGGCTCCAAAGCCACAGAGAAACCCTGTCTTGAAAAACCAAAAAAAATAGAATATTTGCCTAGGACACAAAACCCCTGGATTTGACCTCCTGCATCACAAACGAAAGAGCATGGCGGCACACACATTTTTAATCCTAGCCAGCCAGAGCTACTTAAGATCTTATTTCTTTTTTGCTCTTTCCATTTTTTGTTTGTTTTGCTTTGTTTTGTTTTGTTTTGTTTTGTTTTTCAAGACAGGGTTTCTCTGTGTTACAGCCTTGGCTGTCCTGGAACTTGTTTTGTAGACCAGGTTGGCCTCAAACTCAGGAGATCCGCCTGCCTCTGCCTCCCGAATGCTGAGATTAAAGGCCTGAGCCATCACTACCTGGAGAGATCTTATTTCAAAAATCAAATCAATACAGAGGATCCTCCAACAATATGTGGACATATCAAACTGCCTTATAAACATATTTAGGTCTATAGATTAATAGAGGTAAATAGTAAGATCTAACTGGTGGAGACATAACAGAGAGAAATCAAGCAGGGACTGAGCTGGGAAGCCTCTACTTTGCTGACCAGCTTTCATAGTGCTGGAAGAGAAAAACCATTACCAGTCTTAGTCAGGGCCTGTCATGCTATGCTTGTCTATTGCCAGACAAGATGACATGACTATTTTGGAGGGAAACCAACCACTTTTTTTTTCTTCCTCATCCACTTTATTTTATTTTATTTGAGACAGGATCTCACTATGTAGGTGACTCTGGCCGTCCTAGAACTCAATATATAGACCTGGCTGGTCTCAAACTCAGAGAACTCCACTTGTGTCTGCCTCCCGAATGCTGGTATTAAAGACACGCACCACCATGCCTGGTCCAAACATTTTTTGATGGGATCTGAGGGTCACACCTCAGAAAGTAATTCATGCCTGGTACCATAAACCTGTCAAAAGCCCATAGGCCATACGGCTGAGGAGGTCATAGGCCCTAGGTGGGGGCAAAACTACTATTGTTTTACTAAATGGACAGGTCAAACACCCTTCCAAATACATTTAGACCTACAGATTTGTTCTTGATCAGAAAAAAACTGTTTTGGGGGAGGGCTGGGTAGTAGATAGCAGCTACGGCAATGACTCAGAAACCTTCAAAGTGCTTGAGAAGAAATGACTGTTAAGTGCTCAGACTTAAAGAGGATCTCCTTATCAACCCTCAAGGAACTTCAGAGCAGGGGATTAGGAAGGGATGCTGAGAAATGTTGTCTTCTGACTGTGACATGGCTGCTATACTCATACATAGCAGCGATGGTTACCAGCACAAAACCTTCACAAAGTTCAAGCGATCAACATTCCTGCATGGACAGGGGAGCACTCATGAGGACCCTCCCACCCCTAACTAAAGAGCTCCATGGCATTTATCACTGTTAAGGTAGAGGGAGTATAGACACTTAAGAAAAATTACTATACCACAGTAGTATAGTGGTATAGGGTCATCCATGAGAGCAACACTAGTTACACTCAGTGAGCAAGAAAATAAAATAATAAAATAAACCAAAAGAGAACAGAAAGGGGACATGCTGGAAAGGTAAAGAGATTCAAAGGGGGGCTGGAGAGATGGCTCAGCGGTTAAGAGCATTGCCTGCTCTTCCAAAGGTCCTGAGTTCAATTCCCAGCAACCACATGGTGGCTCACAACCATCTGTGATGAGGTCTGGTGCCCTCTTCTGGCCTGCAGGCATACAAGCAGACAGAGATTCAAAGGGGACAGGAGGGGGTTAGGAGAGGGTAATGAGTGATGAACATAATAAAAATAATTATATTCATGTATAAAATTGCTAAATAAATAATACTTTAAGATAAAGTAAAATTACATAAGCACATCAAAGTTTTGAATTCTCGGTTCCCCATCAAAGTATGTCCTTATAATTTTAAAAAATGCCCAAGATTTAATGAATAAATGAAATGAAAATAGGGGATTGGGCATAACGGAATAGAACATTTGCCTAATATGAACATGAGGCTGATTCCTAGCAACATAAAAACAAATACACAAAATAAGATAAAAAAAAAAAAAAAAAAAAACACCAAGCTGGACGGTGGTGGAGCACGCCTTTAATCCCAGCACAGTCAGAGTTTGAGGCCAGCCTGGTCTACAAGAGCTAGCTCCAGGACAGGAACCAAAAGCTACGGAGAAACCCTGTCTTGAGGAAAAAAAAAAAAAACCCACTAACCTCTGGCAGTCTATGACCACACATTAACTACAAGCAGTAAATGCAGTATATGGAGCGATGGCTCTGTAGTTAGTATCACTTCCTGCTCTCCAAAGGGCAAGTTCAGCTCCCAGCACCCACATCCTGCAGCTCACAATCACCTGTAACTCTAGCTCTACTGGATCCAATCCCAATACTGGCCTTGGTGGGCACTCACACAGACACAAAAAGTGTAAGCATGGACATTTAATTCTTCTGAGGGCATGCTACATCATATATTACACAACAGCACTAAAATTTACCTCTGTTCTTTCAGTTGCGCCAATTCTTCTCCAATAAGTTTTGGTCGATGCATCTGTTGGACCTTGATCATCTGCAAAAGTTGGTCAGCTTCGCAGTCTGGCAGATCACCCTTAACAACAAATATAGAATAACCTAAAAAGAGGCAAAAACAAACTAAAACAACTAGTAGGAGGTTCAAACTTCATCTGAAATGATAGTTGACAGAAAGGTAACAGAGCACAGGAGGAAAAACATCAGGTGAAATCCAGAAAGGCCTAACTTATGTGATGACTCTCACCTGGATCAGGATTGAGCCTCACTGCTCCCATCGGTCAGACTCGGTGGCCACAGAGACAAAAGCAGTCCTGTGTACAAGGGCCCCAGAGAAGCAGCGTCTGACCACATGACTACTTGCTAAAAGTAAACAGGCAGGCAGGCAAAGGAGAAGCAGAGAAAAGGACCTGGACCCAATGGCTTTTGTTCAATCCTAGCTCTGCCACTCCCCAGTGCCACAGGGTCTGTCAATCATTCACCCATCTGTGTTGGTGTCTCTAATTACTAAACAGTGATAAGGAACTTCCTCAAACGGCAGGCGAGAAGTCACTTTTGGTGAATATATGCAATGACTGGTAACGTGGATAAAATAAGTCGCTGGAATATGTGCTGTAAATGGCAGCTCTCCACCCTGCTCCCTGCCCCATCCACAGAGCTGGGAAGCCAAAACCTCAAATATAGTCAGTGTGCCAATATGCCCCACGGTCTGGAAAACAATACACTGGTACAATGCAAATTTTAATAAACACTCATTCACTCAATAAGACAGGTTTTCTCAGCTACAACTAAGTCCAACTTAATAAATGTTTTCTACCATTGATTTTCTTGAACTTCAATGAAACAAAGATTGTGAGGGCTGTTCACTCAAAAGAATATGTTCAACACATTTTCTTTTGATAAGGACAAGCTTATTCAGAGTTCAGATGTCTTGATGTGTTTTCTGCTAATAAACCTGTTTCTAAACCCCTAGAATCTGTATGTCAGCTCACTATGAAGAGAAGATATTCTGCCTTATGCAGACACCATACTAAGTCTCGATTTTATTTAAGACTCTTAATTAATTTTCAGTGTGTTAGAAAACCACTAATTTGTAAAGTAAGTGTATGATTATAATATACATTAAGTTTTTATAAAAGCGCTCTGGCTGCTTTATCAACATATCATATAGAAACTGATGTCCAAGAAGGATTCTTCCTCAAATGGAAGCCTGAAAGAAAGCACATATAGGTAAGCAAGCAAAAGCAACCAACCAAACAACAACCATGGAATCAAGTCTTTTGGGGCTGGACAGGCAGTTCAGCGGTTAAAAGTACTTGCTTTTCCAGAGGATTCAGATCTGATTCCCAGCACCTGCACGGAGGCCCACAGCCAGTTCCAGAGGGTCTGACGCCCTCTTCAGGCTCCACAGGCACCTGAGGATGCCAAGCCCTGGACTGGTGTTCAGAGGAATGTCTAAGCTAAAGCTAAAAGTCTGGGATTACGAGTGTACAGATGATAAACTGTGATTAAAACAGTGGAAAGCCACATAAGGAAGAAGATGAGATGGGAAAGGGTGTGACGATCCACAAGAGGAACCTGACAGAAGCGGTGGGTGAGACAGGCAGATGCCAACATGTAATTCCACTGTGTCATATTTAAGGACATAAGGGATCTAAGCACTGTTTGTTAACAGAGGCTAAGGTGACATCAATCACCATACCATCCCCAAATCAGCTCAAACCTAGCTAAAGTACCTAGGTTCCATTCACTCGAACACCCAGGGGTCAAGTAGATTTAGGGGGGAAAAGCCAACCAAGTCCAATTATTGAACCTGATTTCAGTTCGGATTGAAGTGTGAAGAAAGCATCAGGGATGAGAGATAAGAGGCTTAAACACGGGTTAGCTGACGTCACAATAGCACTGGGGTTTGCTAGCTAGGGATACAGGTCAGAGCAGAGTTCTACCCCACATGCACACAGCCATGGGTTTTCAATCCCCATCACCACAAAGCACATTTTTAAAGCAAGATTATAGTGCCACTGTGAATATTTTAGTAAAAAAAAATTACTTTTAAAGATTTCATCATGAAAATAGTTACAGAAAAAACAGTAGGGCAAACAGGAAGTAGGCAAGTTGTAAAGAAATAAGCCATGTAGAGGTACAGGACGATCAAGAAATCATTTTCTTTCCTTTTACATTTCACATATGTCTATGAAATTTGGGAGGCCCAGTGAGAGTGAGAAGAGAGACTCGCGGGTTTATGGCAACCGACTGGAAGGGTTCAACAGGTGACAATGCACCAGAAATAGTTCTAATGAGAAAATTACAGATGGGCAAGCCGCTAGAGCTTCATAGGTAAGAGAAGCTCTTCATTCTAATCAATGGAAGCAGAGAGCTTTTACCCTGAGTTGATCACCTATACTGTAAGGGTAACTCACTGCTATTGTCAGAGATCACACACTATTACACACACAAATAATGACTCGGTTTCGTTTAAGCTACCTTCAAAGATAAAATTTTTGGTATTTATTTACCTTCTTGCTGTAACTGAGCCAAGAATAGTGCGAGGTACGTATCTGATATTAATTCTGGACCCGTCAGGAGAGAATTCAAGTTAAACCACTAAAAAAAAAAAAGAATATTAAAGTTAATGAACAAAGTTATATGCAAAAATAATTTCTCATGTTAAACATATAACCTACTAATGACTGTCTAAATAAATATATAATGACTGTCTAAATAAATATATCAAACTAAGATTCTTCTAACGTACTGAATACTGTGATTAGAAAAAAATGCTGTACAACAAATTAAGGCATAAACGAACTCCTTCTAAAAGCACAGAAGCTGATAGTACCTTAAAATGCCTTTACTGATAGCTATAATTACGTGGTTTTAGGCTATCAGGTCAACACACCTACTCATGTCATAGTGACATGGGGGAAAATGATAGCTACACACTTTTTCACTTGGCCAAAAGACTACAATTTTTAAAAGGTAAATGTTCTGGGGAAAGAATTTATAATCATCATTTCATTTTAACAAGACCTCTAAGCTACCACTGAATGTGATTAACAGCATGACGTCACAACCTCAGAGGTGCCCTTACTTAAACAGAAAAATGCAAAAATGTTCCTAAGTCATGCTTGATTCCACGCACAACTAATGACTCTTCCTGGATTTTGATAAGCCAGAGAGTTCTTTTACCAATCATTTCTTTCTTTACACAGGGATCAGTGGCTTGCCTCAGAACAGATACACCAAGCCTCTGCCTATTCAGCGTTGGTTAAAGGTGTGTGCCATCACACCTAGCTAAAAATCTGTTCCTAAATAAGAACATAAATCAGAACCAAGGACCAATAGACCAATACTAGCCATCTTCCATAACTGTCAAAGATAAAATAGTTCAAAATGTAAAAAGCCCAAAAAAGAGATAAATTTAAAAAGTTCAAAACAATGTTTCCTACAAATCACTACAAAATTGCATATGAGTTTTACATTTCTAGGCCTTAAAAATGCAGTGGTTACTTTATTCAAAAAAATAACACTGGGTCCTAATTTTCTAAAGGCACAAAATAAGCCCTCAATGACTACAAGGGAGGAGGGCAGAGAAGTCACACGGAATTGACCTGGCTCTTTGCAGAGGTGATTCTGTCCCAGTTCACATCTCCTTACCTGCTCTCCACACACCTTACAGAGAACATAAATATTGCTTTTTCCTTAGCTTCTGGAACAGGAGATTGAACCTAGAACCTTGTGATAATCATAAGCACCCACCCTGCTCGTGATGAACAGTACCGAGCAATCGCCGAAGACTAGGCTACTTCCAGATGGCCCAGTTAACAGCTAACAGTACAGTTTACTTAAAAATAAATAGATAAATATGTATATATGCACACATATATCACACACACACACACACAGTGCCCTTTCCTTTGAAATACTTAATTTTGTGTATATGTATGTATGTGCACCATGTGTGTGCTCGGTGCCCACAGAGGTCAGGGCCACTGGCTTCTATGGAACTGGAGTTACAGTCAGTTGTAAGGCACTCCATGGGTGGCAGGAACCAAATTCAGATCCTCTGCAAGAGCAGTGGGATATAGCTCATACCCACTGAGCTATATCTCCAGGTTTAATGTATTATTTCTTTTCTTTTCACATTTAATGTAATTTATTTATTCTTGGATTTTTTAAGGCAGAGTCTCACAGATTTGACTGGCCAAAAACTCACAGATCTCCCTGTCTCTGCTGGAAGCAAAGATGAACACCTCCACACTCAGCATTTTTGCTTTTTATTTTGAAAAACAGCTTATTGAAGCAAAACTGACTTGAAATAAACTGCTGTCCCTCTCCTCCTGTCTATCTTGAGGGTTTCACTATGTAGTCCAGGCTGTCCTTAAGGCCTCCCAAGGTCGTCTCCTAAGAGTTGAGTCACAAGGCATGGGCCACTGTACTTGGATAAACTGCACATACTTCTGTTACAACCTGGGATTTTTGTTTTGCTTTGTTTAGTTTGATTTTTTTGAGACAGGGTTTCTCAGTGTAGCCTTGGCTGTCCTGGAACTCACTCTGTAGACCAAAGTGGCCTTGAACTCACAAAGAACTGCCTGTCTCAGCCTCCTGAGTGCTGGGATTAAAGGTGTGCACCACCACTGCCTGGCATCATTTGCAAAAATGTTTGTATTACCCCCATTAAACCATCAACATCACCAAGAGAGTGAACACACTCTTCAGAGTCCAGTCTCTCGTGTTCCTTCTCTCCATCCCCAGCCATACACAAGCACTGGTCAGTCTACTGTCATCACTGTATCTGGCACTCATTTCTGAGATTCATCCACGCTGCTTGTGTATAAGCAGTTCATTCCCTTTGACTGCATGAGCTGCTTTCCAGTAACCCTTACCCAAACTGAACATTCTAAGAAGGCCGTTGCATGACTGCAGCTCTCAAAAGCATGGTAGTGGTGACTTTATGCAGATGTATTCCCCAGCAGTGGTACTGCCTGAATAATCCTGTCCCACTAATGTCAACTGCTAAATGTTTTGTTTGTTCCTGACATTTCAGGCTTTGTTACAGTACTGTGCTAAACACAAATCATCACACAAAAACATATTTAATGGTAAACACATGTGCCATATTTTAAATACAGAATTTTTATACAAGTGATATAACCTGTATGTTTTTTTTTTCTTGAAAAACTGATTATCTTCTCTTAAGATATCCATTTTCTCATCTGTTGAACTGAGTCCAGGCTCAGGTAGAGTGCATAGGACCCTGGGCTTCAGCCTAAAGACACCAGTCACTTGCATTTTAGTTCTAAATGGAGTGTAGACTGTGATTAAAGGACAAGAAAGGAGAAGAAATATTACCTGTTTTCCTAATTTTCTAACTGTAAACCAGTGTTCTTTATAATTGCATATAAAGGATCTTTCATTTCTAGAAAAGACAAAACATATACTGTTAATACTGTTACGTTGGGATATTAGGAGATATATACTAGCAAGTACAATAAAATTTCTATCAGTTAGAATATAGCTACACTTATGTGTTATTGATTTTAAAAAATGAAAATAATGTAACTCTATGCATTTTCCACAGGAGCTTAGGGATGTTATGCCCCAAAGTTTGCACACCACTCAGGTTAGTGACTTCACTGGCACTGATTAGAAGGCAGCTGCTCAAGGGTACCAAAGGGTGACATGTCAAGTCCAAGGGCTTCAAATGCAGTATCAGTATAAGGCAAGGACATTCACAATGAATTCGTCCTTATTCAGAAACTGTAGCTTTAAAAATCAAGTTTAAATAAAGAAATATAGGGAGAAAAGTCTTACATAGGATCAATTCCGAGCCTCTGGTACTCTGGACTGTTGAATAGGATTAGTTCTAAACCCCAAACTTTCAAGGCATTGCTTATAACCTGTCAAAAGAAAAACAGCAACTTTTCATGAGCTAAAACTTCAAGTCCAAATTTAAGTAGCATAGCTACATTAATTATGTAAGCAACTGTACTTTACATATAAACTTTTGAGACTATTGTTTTTAAAAATTATGTCCCCGTGATAACCCACTGAAGCCATAAATAATATATACATGTGAATTTAATTTCTTTTTTTTTTTTATTATTTTTGTTTACATGTATTAGAGTGAGTATAGACCATTGTGTAAGTGCCTGTGGAAGCCAGAAGAGGATGTCAGGTCCCCATACTGTGGAGTTACAGGCAGTTGTAAGTAGCCTAATGTGGGTGCTGGGAAGTGAACTAGTCCTCTGAAATACCACTAAGCATTCTTAAATGTGAAGCCATCTCTATAACCCCTACAACTTCATTTTATACCCACTGTAAACTAGTTCACTACATACAGTCACTGTACAACTAGTCCACCACATACACTCACCTGCAACGGCAGTGACCAAAAGCATATAAAGTAAATTCTCCCTGGGCATTTAAAAATAAGCTTCAGGGACTGAAAAGATGACTAAGTGGTCAACAGTGCATGCTGCTCTTATGGGGCCGAAGTTCAGTTCCCAGCACCCATGTCAGGGGACTCATAATCACCTGTTAATTTCAGCTCCAGAGCTCCACTGACCTCTTCTGGCCTCCGCAGACAGTAGTACTCATGTGCACATACCCACACATATTCATATACATACACAAATAATCTTTAAAAGTAAATCTTCTTTAAGTTTGATATATTTTAGAATTCTGTAGTCATGAACAAAAAGTCAAACCTGATATTGCAAACTGAGAAAAAGGGGAGAGACATTTGAGAAAATGTTCTATCTTTCCTCCCGTGTGGGCAACAAAGAAACAAGCACACTGTAGTGACTCAGTGTAAGGGAGCAGTAAAGCAGTGTGGGCTGTGCCAACCATGACCCACGATCCTAGCTAAGGGTCAGTAGTCCTCATACTGTCACAGTGAAGTACTGGGGGGAAGTTAATAGACAACCCTCAATCGTTAGAATGAAAGATCCACAGGTAAAGAGCCCCACAAACACATGAATTTAGACATGGTGGCTCCCAATTGCAATCCCAGCACCTAGGAGACCAAAACATGATTTTGGAAAGTTCAAGACCAGGTGAGGCTACAAAGCAACACCTTGTCTATAGAAGCCAACCAAACATATATACATAAATCACTGCAGGGTTAGAGGTTTTCTCTAGGGCAGAATACTTGTCAGTATGTGACAAGACTTTATATCATCCCTAGCACTATAAAGAAAAACTACCACAGAATTAAAATGGAGCCTAATGGGTCTTGGCTCTGCAGTAGAATCTGAGCACCTGTGAGTCTTTGGAGCCAATCCCAACCCCACCCTCCAAAAGGGCTACAAATTACCATACAGATCAGAAGCCACAGAGGTACTACAGGAATCCAATCCTGTAGGATGATTTAATGAAGGCTTCAAGGCACTGCAACTTCTCAGATGTACCAGGGATAATAAGTCTGAAGTACTGTAATTTATTAGAATTAAAGCTATTAGCACCTACATGCAAATTAAGCAATCTCAGGAAGCAAGTTTTAAAGGCCCTGTTCTAAACTGAGTACGGTAGCACACACCTGTAATTCCAGTCTGGAGGCACAGATGGGAAGACAAACAAAGACCCAAACCAGCCAGGACTATAGTGAGACCCTGCCTGTTCCCAGAAAGCAAGAGAGCAAAGCCCTGCTCTAAAGTGAAGAGTCTACAGTCCTAATGCTCATCTCTCTCTGTGCTGCACTCTGGAGCAGTCATATCTTCTACAGACACAGTTTACTGAGGGAATTCCGGAAGGCTCCACCGTTACATAAAAAGCTATGCCAGGCTGTGCACATCAACCACAAACTGAGCATAAGCACAGCAGCACTGAAAATGAGGCAGCACTTCGCAGGGACTACTTACCTGGATAGAGAAAAAGCCACTGTCGTCCATATTTCCAGAAGGCTGCTGTGGGCAGAGAGGATGGGAAAAGAATTAAAACTGTCATTAGGGTGCACATTTATAAGAACACACTGTACCAAGTGAGGAGCAGAGTTATAATTAACAAGTCAGACTCCTATGGCGAGAATGGCTCATCCTCCTTTAAAGAGCACCCGTATTTTAAAATTAAAATGGGATTTGGAGAGTCTGAAATCAGTACCTGTAAAAATGTGCGGTAGTCTTCACTGGTAACTCCTCCTTCTGCCATTCTCATCCTTTCTTCTTCATCAAGCTGGTGTGCAATAGAGGATAGCTCCACAGGGCTAAAATATTCCCCTTGCAATAGATTATTCAGGCAATGCTGAGCACAAAGTGAGCCATCTTGCTAGTGTTTCCAAAAGAGTAAATTTAAATGTGATTTATTAAGTGGATCTGTATAGTATATTCTAAAAAATGTAATTACTAACTTTATAATACAGTCAAAACAAACCTCATAAACTTAGGCAAATCTGATTTTACAAGTATACACATTTTCATTTGTCTATGTTTATTTTACAGCTATATAACTATAGGAACAAAAATGAAAAATGATTTACAGTATAACTTCATCCAATCTCGTATAAGCCTAAAAATTACCCTATAAAAACATTTAGCCTTTTCAATTTTTCGGTACCTACAAGAATTCCTCTTTGGAGATTCCATGGCAAGTGACTACTACAAAAGGGGAGTGTTATCCCCTAGAACATCCATTCTTCTAAAGTTAGTCACTATCTGACCTGAAAGCCTGTCCTTTTAAACTCAAGAGCTGGTGTAAGCGGGACAGTTCTGTCTCAGGTTAAGACTCACAGTTCTAGAGACTCTTGGCCAACTCTGCAGACTCATCCATGTAGCATAGAGAAAAAAAAACTGTCCCAAGCTGAAGACAGTCCACACCCATGAGTGGATAAACTAGTAAAAGAAGCTAAGTTCAGTTCCCTAAGAGATCCTTAGCATCCTCTCATCAAGAGTAGGTACAACATCCCATGAACCCAGGGGCTTCTAGTGCTGGTTAGCTGGCTTTCATACACAACTGGGACCCAACCCAACTCCAAGTCCATATTGCCTGACTGAGCAGGCTTCATCACTCTCCTAGTCCTAACCCTGTTGTTTTCCTATGCTACAGGTACAGAAGGGAGACTCCTGAGTAGATGAGTTGGGTGGACACAGACCCTAAGTATGCTTTTCTGGGAGGCAAAGGCAGATGGGAGAACACTTCCTCTGTTAACTCTGGCCTCCCGAACTCAACCTGCCAGGCACCATTCCTCCTGGTCTGAGCTATGTTACATGGCAGACGATGACTCGAAAGAGCACCTTTCAAGATGCATTTCCCCATGATGAATCACTGTTAAGAGGAACAATATATAATTGTTGAAGTAGATACAGATATGGAATAAGAAGGCAGAGTTCAGAGAGCTTGAGTCTGACACAAAGCCAAAGAAAGCTTATCTTCATAGTCCACTAAGTAATGTTGCCCCAGAATGGCTCAGAGCTAGTTGCAGTTACATGGTGGCAGAATTCTTTGTCTCTGCCTCTTTTCCCTTCTACTGTTGATCTATTACTAGGAGCAACTTCCACCAAACACTGACTACTCTCAAGTAGAGATATACAGACATTCTACTTAAACCCTAGTGGAAATAAATGCAAGCACTACACAAGGTAGTCAAGAGGCTAAAAACATACAAATTCATGAGTTATCAGGGAAATGTATATCAAAACCACAACACAGGGCAGGAGGTGGCTCAGCAGGTAAAGGTGCCTGATGTCAATCCCCAGATACTACTGTAGAAGGAGGGAATGATGCCTGAGTACTTGCCCTCTGACCTCCACATGCACACCTGGCCACCCGCATGCCAGCACTCGCATGCATGTCTCATACATACAATGATAAAAAAAATTTTTAAATATTACACTTATTGACTGATTGACTGGCTGGAGGGATGCAGAGGACAACTTTTAGGATTCAATTTCTACTTTCACAAAGTGGATCCCAAGGATCAAACTCATGTTATAAGGCTTGCTGAGCTATCTTAAAAACGCTTTTGTTATTGTTGTTGAGACAAGGTATCACTTTGTAGCCCAGACTGTCCTGGAACTCATTATATAAACCTGGTCTCGAACTCATAGAAATCTGTTTGCCTCTGACTCCAAGTGCTAGGATTAAAGGTGTGCACCACCACCATCACCTAAAAAAAAATTACTTTTATAAAAGAAAATTTCACAGTGTGTTACTACTATCCAGTTTCAAGATCAGCTATTAGAGTGAAGAGGTTTAGAATCACAGACAACAGTTGTTACAGGAGCAAATGTAACTTAGCAAAACCTTTGTACAACAACCTTTATCTCACCAGAGCTCATAATCTCTGTATTCTGTGGTGACGCACATACACTGCAAATGCACTCACCTAAGCACTACTTGTAGGCTTCCAAACTGGAAAGTACCCAGAGACAGTTTAGATCATAGAACTGTCTATACATTGTATATGAATAAAAGCAAATTAAATAAAAGTAACTGTAACAATATGGCTGAATCTCACAAATACTTTTAAAAAGTAAAAAACACACAACACTCAAAAGAGTAGAGGATGTAGCTAGTATGTGCAAGGCCATGGGTTCAATCCCTACTACCACCACCAAACTAAGACTGCAAAGGTACAGGGTGCAGCAAATGAGAGGAGCCTAGTGACCTAAATTCCATCCCTGGAACCTACTTAAAAGTCGAAGAGAGGGCTGGAGAGATGGCTCAGTGGTTAAGAGCATTGCCTGCTCTTCCCAAGGTCCTGAGTTCAATTCCCGGCAACCACATGGTGGCTCACAACCATCTGGAATGAGGTCTGGTGCCCTCTTCTGGCCTGCAGACATACACACAGACAGAATATTGTATACATAATAAATAAATAATAAATAAATATTTTAAAAAAAAGTCAAAGAGAACATTCCACAAAGTTTTCCCTGATCTCTATATACATACAGAGGTTTGTGTCCATTCATACAACATATCATGAAGAAACAAGAATAATAACTTAAAAAATTAAGAGTTTACAAATAGACAAAATTAATCTCTTAATCCACAATGGCAGAATTGCCTGGCAGAAGTAAATGCAGGAAGAGCTAGTTCTTAGAAGAGAAGATTAAGGGGATTTGGGATGTAGGCAAACAGTCTATGATTCCATGTGTGTTTCCTTAACTGCACACTCTCATGACTTGTGTGTTCTTGTGTATGGCATACTTAATTTAAAGCATTCAGACTAGGTTAGGCAGTGGTGGCAATCGCCTTTAATCCTAGCACTTGGGAGGGAGGCGGATCTCTGGGAGTTTGAGGCCAGCCTGCTCTATAAAGCAAGTTCCAGGACAACCAGGGTTATACAGAGAAATCCTGTCTCAGAAAACAAACAAAAACAAAACAAACCATTCAAACAAGAAGGCCAGGCATGGCTGTGCATACCTTTAATCCCAGCACTCAGGAGTCCAAGATAGGTGTATCTCCGTGAGTCACCTACATATTGAGACCCCATCTCAAAAAGAAAAGAAAAGAAATCAAGAAACATCTAGCATGGCAACCAGGCACTCAATTTGGGGAAGCAGTTATGACACAATCTTCAGTCCTATTGCTAGGCAATATGTTTCAGTGTGGCATTCTTAAACTACGATCACCATACTTTTTAAAGATATTTTTGTTTATGTGTGTGTGTGTGTGTGTGCGCGCGCGCATGTGCTGTCTGCATGTATATCTGCACCATACACATGCCTGGCATTCACAGAAGCCAGAAGAGTGGGGCTGGATCTTCTGAGACTAGAGTTGCAGAGGGTTGAGTCATCACCATACAGGTCTGGGAATCCTGGGTTCTCTGAAGAGTAGCCAGTGCTCATAATCTCTGAGCACTGAGCCACCTCTCTAGCCCCTAGTCACCATATTTAATATACAGAAATAGTGACATCCAAAATTTTGATAAAAAATTCTTGCTATTAAAGATTGGGGCTTTGGAGGCTGGAGAAATGGCTCAGCAGGTAAAAACACTTGCTATTCTTGCAGAGGATTTGGGTTCGGTTCCTAGCATGTACCGGGAACTCACAACCAGCTATAATTCCAGTCCTAAGGAATCTGATGCCCTCTCCTGGCCTGCTCAGTCACTTTATGAATTTTATGACTCATGTAGGTACTCATATACATAAAATAAATGAAGTCGCGCACGCCTTTAATCCCAGCACTCGGGAGGCAGAGGCAGGTGGATCTCTGTGAGTTCGAGACCAGCCTGGTCTACAGAGCTAGTTCCAGGACAGGCTCCAAAAACCACAGAGAAACCCT